TCCCTCAGCTCTTCAGCTCAAGGCTAGTGCTCTGCCACTTGAGCCACAGCGCCATTTTCAGCTTTTGTTCTTTTTGCTTATGTGGTGCGGAGGAATCAAACCCAGGGCCTCATGTATGCAAGGCAAGTGCTCTACCACTGAGCCACCTTCCCAGCCTCCTTTTTATTGTTGTTTGTTTTTCCAGTCCTGGGGCTTGAACTCAGGGCCTGGGTACTGCCCTTGAGCTTCTTTTGCTCAAGGCTAGCACTCTACCACTTGAGCCACAGCACCACTTTCAACTTTTTTTTTTTTTTTGGTTTATATGGTACTGAGTAATCAGACCCAGGACTTCATGCATGCTAGGCAAGCACTCTACCACTAAGCCATATTCCCAGCCTCTGGTTTAGTTTTTGTAGTACTTGGGACAGAGCCCAGGGCCTAGCATCTGCAAGGCAAGTGCTCTTCCACTGAGCTCTAGCCCTTGCTTTTGGCTTTCTTGGCCCTTAAAAGTATCTTTAAGGTTCTCCTGCTCTTTTCAATGACAGAGTCCCAAGGGCCCACCCAGATTTGACCCTGAACATGTAAGGAAGCGCAGCAGTAGGAAGAGCTGCCTGCTCTGCTTGAAATGAGTCTGGTCTTAGATTATCTTGTTCACTTTTCTCTTCCAGTGTTTAATAGTATCTGTCTGGAGTAGGCCCTGAATTCATCAATGTCCAAAAGAATCAACATCGTGACTGCACCTGAGATTTCCAATAAGCAGGTCAAATCCTACTTAACCATACACTAACAGTGGGAGAAGAGCCTCAATTCTCATCTGGAAAATGGGGATGACCTCTCTGGGGGAGGGGAAGCGTGATGGGCAGTATTGCTGCTGATTCAAGCTCCAGGATCTGCAATACCAGTGTCATGGAGTCTTTCTCTCTGGCCTCTTCAGCTCAGGGAAAACAGGTATGACATGTCTGAGCAAGTCACTGGTTTATGTCATCTGCTTCATGTGTAAAAATGTGGCCTGGCTGAGGCTACTAGCAACTCAGGAGAATGAGATCTAAGGATTGTGGTTCCAAGCCAGACAAGGCAAGAAAGTCAATGTGACTTTTATCTCCAATTAATCACCAAAATAGCCAGAAGTGAAGCTGTGGCTCCAGTGGTAGAGCACTAGCACTGAGTGAAAAAGCTCAGGGACAGCACCCACACCCTAAGTTCAAGCCCCAGGACTGGAAAAAAATGGGGCCTGCCCACCTCAGGATACTGGGATTGTGAAATGAGGATGGGTGGGGCCCTAGCAGTAGAAAACATAAATCCTTCTAGCTATTTTACCTTTGGCTCAGAGACTCGAAGTGCACTGAGGTTGTCCCGAATGATCACCCGGGACAAACAGCTCTTGGGTAAAAGTTTTTTCACAGCAGCTTCAATGGAATTCATTACACTGAAATGGGGAGGATAAAATGGAAAAGGTTAGAAATGGCCAGAACTTGACAGGCTGATATCCTACAGAAGTTAAGGACTCTTGCTTATGACAAGCCCTGATTTCCCATAATTGTCAGACAGATCGGAATAGCCATTAAGTTATATTTTGTGGACAAAGTGTGTAAAGGATTAGGTCCTCTTTATCCAGAAAAGCCAAAAGGAGGAGGAGAAGGAGGAAGAGGAGGAGGAGGAGGAGGAAAGGAAGGAAGAAAGGAAGGAAGGAAGGGAGGGAGGGAGGGAGGGAAGGAGGGAGGGAGGGAAGAGTGAGTGAGCTATCGAGCTGGGCACCGGTGTAATCCTAGCTACTCAGGAGGCTGAGATCTGAGGATCACAGTTCAAAGCCAGCCTGGGTAGAAAAGCCTGTAAGACTTTTATCTCCAATAAACCACCAGAAAACTGGAAGTAGTGCTATGGTAGAGTGCTAGCCTTGAGCTGAAGAGCTGAGGGACATTGCCCAGGCCTAGAGTTCAAGCCCCATTAAACACAAAAAGAAAGAAAGAGGTGGGGGGGGGAGGTGGCTCAGTGGTAGAGTGCTTGCCTTGCATGCATGAGGCCCTGGGTTCAAGGGTTCAATTCCTCAGCACCACATAAGCAGAAAAAGCTGGAAATGGTGCTGTGGCTCAAGTGGTAGATCGCTCGCCTTGAACTGAGAGCCAGGGTTCAGGCCCTATGACTGGCAAAAAAAAAAAAAAAAAGGAAGGAGGGAGGGAAAGGAAGGAAGGAAAGAAGGAAGGAAGGAAGAAAGGAAGGAAGAAAGAAGGAAAGAAAAGCTAGCTAGGTGCCCATGGCTCATGTCTGTAATCCTAGGTACTCAGGAGACTGAGATCTGAGAATCACAGTTCAAAGTCAATCTGGGCAGGAAAGTCTGTGAGACTCTTATCTCCAATAAACCACCAGAAAACCGGAAATGGTGCTGTGGCTCAAGTGGTAGAGGGCTAGCATTGAGCGGAAGAGCTCAGGGACAGCTCCCAGGCCGGGAGTTCAAGCCCCACAACCAACAAAAAAGAAAGAAAGAAAGTGAGGGATGTTTGGGGTAAAGGAATTTAGGGGACTCTAGAGAATGAGAGGCAGATGATGGAGTAGAGTGGGAAGGGGTAGGGTGGGGTACGAGGCAGCTAGAGGATTAAAAAGAAAACAATGTGGACAAAATGAGGAGGTGGCTCTACCAAAAAGTGGAGGTATGGCTCAAGTGGTAAAGTGCCAGTTTTGAGGGAAAAACAAAGGGAGAATATAAAGCTCTGAGTTCAAGTCTAGTACTGACACACAAAAACACACTTTGGACAAGATGATTTATTGATTAAAAAAAACTCAGACACTGAGTGTTTCACTTTTTGGTAATTTGGTTACTTACACCTTGCTCTAGAAATACACTCCTTTAAATTGTTCGCTTACTTAAAATGTTTATATTTCCTTTTGTTCTTTACTTTTTGGACTGAGTCTTCCTATGTAGACTAGTCTATCCTCAAACGTTCTCCTACTTCAGCCTCCCAAGTGACAGGATTTCAGGTGCGCATCATTTCCTCTGGATAGCTTTTCTTTTTCTCTATACTGAGGATTGAACTCAGGCTACTGTTTCGATCCTAAAGTTTGGAAAGTAAATGTGTAACAACCAGAAAGCAAGTTAATATTGGCAAATCATACAGTAAAATACATATAATCGGCTGGGAATGTGGCTTAGTGGTAGAGTGCTTGCTTAGCATGCATGAAGCCCTGGGTTCGATTCCTAGTACCATATACACAGAAAAGGCCAGAAGTGGTACTGTGGCTCAAGTGGTAGAGTGCTAGCCTTGAGCACAGAGAGGCTCAAGGACAGTGTCCAGGCCCTCAGTTCAAACCCTGAGACCAACAAAAACAAAAACAAAAAAATACATATAATCATATGTATTTTTATATGTATTTTATATATGTATTGGTGTACTAAATGGGGGAAAAAGCCAACAGTGTACTTTTTGTGATGTATTTTTGAGGCTATTTTTTAAAATGATTTTGTTTATCTTTACTAGCTTACATACAGTTATATAGAGGGAGATTTCACTGTTACAATTCCACAGGTTTATATTTCAATTGTGATTTTTTTTAGTAGGTATTACGGCTGGGTGCCTGTGGCTCATATATATACCCAGCTAATCAGGAGGTAGAATTTGTGAGGACAGCAGTTCCAGGCAAGCCGGGGCAAAACAAAAAAAAAAGGGAAACTCCCATTTCAACAGAAAGAGCTCAGTGTGGTGGCATATTCCCACCATTCCAGCTATGGTGGGAATCATAAATAGGATTGTAGTCCATGCCAGTCCCAGCAAAAAGGAAGACCCTATCTCAAAACCAACCAATACTAAAAAAAAAATAGTAAATTATAATATGTATATGTGGATAAACCTAGAATCATACACATCATTTTGCTGGTCTATCTCATTTTCCTCTAAGTATACACTCCTCTTATAATTAGGATAAAATTGTGCTTGGTGCTAGTGGCTCACACTTGTAATCCTAGCTACTCAGGAGGCTGAGACATGGAGGACTGAGATTCAAAAACAACCCAGGCAGAAAAGTCCACAAGACTCCAACTCCAATTAACAAATTGTTGACTAGAGGTGTTGCTCAAGTGGTAGACAGCCAGCCTTGAGCAAACAAGAACTCAAAGCCCCGAGTTCAAGGCCTTGTACCAGCACGTGCCCATGTGCACGTGTGCAAACACACACACACACATACACACATACACACACACACACACACAAGAATAAAATGACAGTTTTTGAAAGGTAAAACATTTTGGAGAATTTGACAGTTTTTTCCAAATACATTTTCAGCCAATTTGTAACAATGGTCGTGTGTGTGTGTGTGTGTGTGTGTGTGTGTGTGTGTGTGTGTGTGTGTGTGTGTTGTATATGCCAGTTCAGGGGCTTGAACTCAGAGCCTGGGCGCTCACTGTCCCTGAGCTTTTTTTGGCAATCCTGGGGTTTGAACTCAAGGCCTGGGTACTGTCCCTGAGCTCCTTTTGCTTAAGGCTAGCGCTCTACCATTTGAGCTACAGCGCCACTTCTGGCCTTTTCTGTTTATGTGGTACTGAGTAATCAAACCCAGAGCTTCATGCACTCTAGGCAAGCACTCTACCACTAAACCAAATTCCTAGCCCTGTCTCTGAGCTTTTAAGTGCTAAAGGTTAGTGCTCTATCACTTGAACAACAGTTTCACTTCCAGCCTCCTCTCCTCTCTCCCTCTCTTTCTTTCTCTCTCTCTCCCCCTCAGCTAATTGGAGATGAGAGTAGCATAGACTTTCCTGACCAGTTAGCTTTGAACCAGAATGCTCAGATCTCAACCTCCTGAGTAACTAGACTTGCAGGTGCGAGCCACTGGCACCCAGCTGTTGTTGTATTTACAAACAAGTATGAGCTGGGTGCTGGTGGCTCACGCCTGTAATCCTAGCTACTCAGGAGGCTGAGATCTGAAGATCACGGTTCAAAGCCAGCCCGGGCAGGAAAGTCTGTGAGACTCTTATCTCCAATAAACCACTAGAAAACCGGAAGTGGCACTGTGGCTCAAGCGGTAGCGCGCTTGCCTTGAGCTGAAGAGCGCAGGGACAGCGCCCAAGCCCAGAGTTCAAGGCCTATGACCGACAAACAAAAAAAAATGAGTATGAACAATGCACAAAGTAAGCATCCTCAAACTCCCTTGCTCTGTTCTAGTTTTTTTTTTGGGGGGGGTGGGGAAGGGGATAGGCACTGGGCTTGAACTGAAGGTCTCATGTTGTCCCTGGAGTTCTATCCTGAGTCATATCTCTGCATCCCTCATCCCCACTGCATTTTTTTTTAACCTCTGTGTAAGGCAACACGGCAGACATGAGCTGATGGGAAAGGCTGAGTCATATATAAGTCTCTCAAAACACATTTAGAGGCAAAGCAAAACAAAAAACCAAATGAATTTCTAAGCCAGGTTCAGTGACTGGAGCCTGCAGTCTTAGCTATTTGTCAGCCCCAGGGGGGAAAAAAAGAGTTTACAAGACTCCATCACCAACAATGGCTGGGTGTGGCGGTGAGCACTCCTAATGTGGGTACATTTTAACCCAGGCCAGCTGTCCTAAATGAAGAACTTCCTCCTTTTTTTTTTTTAAAGACCATTTGGGCCACACCCTAAGTATAAAATGGTATCCTATCTCAACAATGTAATGAAGTAGGAGAGCACTTGCCTGGCACTTCAAACCCCGGTGCAGCAAACAAAAAGCCTAAATTTACTTAAGGATGCACAAAACACTCTTTACTTAGTAGTGTACTAAACTTACTGATACAGTACTAGCAAGAAAGGAAAAGGGCAATGATTGGAGATAATCCCTTCCAAGGAGTAAATAACGGTTATTTTGAACCAAATTGTTTTCCAGTGAAGTCTCTGGGAGCCTGAGGGTGAAAGCTAGGAGTAGGTGAGAGGGTTTGTTTGGATTGGGGCCAAGCAGAAGGAACTGGAGGGTTGTTGATTTTTTTTTTAAGGGGGGGGTGTTTGTTTTGTGCTGGTACTGAGGCTTGAACTCAGGGCCTGGATGCTGGTCCCTTAGCTTTTATTTTTTTACTCAAGGCTGGTGTCCTATCACTTGGGCCACAGTTCCACTTCTGGCTTTTTGGTGGTTAACTGGAGATAAGAGTCTCATGGACTTTCTTGGCCGGGCTGGCTTTGAACCGTAGTCTCAGATCTCAGCCTCCTGAATAGCTTTGATTACATACAAGCACCCGGGTGCCCGGCTTTTGCTGAGGAGTATGTCTGCTAGGTTTTTGCTTGGGGAGATCTGGCTCTTGCTTGGCTTCTGCTTGGTTCAGGACTCAGGGCACTGAGGGTCACCTGAGGTCCAGCCTGGGAGATGGAAAGCCCAGGGCTGGGTTGCAGATGGAAATGCGCAGGAGTTAGGCCCTGGAGTGGGTCTGGGGGAGGAACTGGGGGCCAGATCTACGAGAAAAGCGGGATTTCGGGGGTCCGAGAGTTTGGGCTGTGCCCAGGGGTGAAAGGGCAGCCCAGCCGCACCTGAACGGCACCAGAGGCTGCTCGCTCCGCGGTCGCAGGAAGCAAGTCTGCGACTGGACCCCGAGGCGACTTTCAAGCCGGTGGTCAAAGTTTCTGCGCCGGAAGTCCAAGCTCCGGATGGCGCCGGAAGCAGAGGCAGCTTTCGTAACGACATTACCGTCCGTCGACGATTCCGCGTCACTTTTGTACGGGGTAGTGCCTTTCATATCCCGCAACGACTGGAAAACGGTAGACTGGCTGTGAGCCATGGTAGACGAGCACTGGCGCCAGCGCAGGCAGAGGAAGACCAAGCGATGGTCCCCGGAAGCGAAGTTCTCGCGCGTTGCCCAGGAGACGCGCGAAGGGGCGTGGCCTGCGAGGGAGGGGACGTTCTCTTAGCCTTGTCTCCCCACACAGCCGCCAGGATGGGGGGGGCGGAGGCCTAGTGCGTTGCCATGGAGACGAGCTGCCGTGAAGCGACTCCACTCGGCTTTGAAAACGAGTCCCGGGCGTGGCCGCGTCGCGCTCAGAACAGAGGTGGGAATGTCTGGGAAGACCTAGCGCCAGCCGTTCCCCTCCGCCGGGAGGCACCGTTACTGTAGCCATCAGCGCCTCGGGCGTGCGAGGATCGGAGATCGTCGTCGAGGATCGGAGATCGTCGTCGAGGATCCGGAACTGGTCGGTCTTCTCCCTCCCGAGAAACCCTCGCCCGGGACTTCCCCACCCTCTGCTGGTAGCAGGTGAGACCCACGGGGCCTTGTCTCCTGTGTCTCCTGATCGAGAAGCCTATTCCAATGCTAAATCCCCAGGAAGCCCCCCCCCCCACACTCACCCTCCCTTGGAAGGGGCGACTTGAACCCTTGTCTGCCTGTGGACTTTGTTCCCTTTTTTTTTTTTTGTCAGTCATGGGGCTTGAACTCTGGGCCTGGGCACTGTCCCTCAGCTCTAGGCGAGCGCTCTACCACTTGAGCCATAGCGCCACTTCCGGTTTCTGGGTGGTTCATTGGAGACCAGAGTGCCACGGACTTTCCTGCCCAGGCTGGCTTTGAACCGGGATCCTCAGATCTCAGCCTCCTGAGTAGCTAGGATTACAGGCAATACTGCTGGCGCCCGGCTTTGTTCCATTTTTATAACGCAGAGTTTTACCAGGTTTGTGTGTGTGTGTGTGTGTGTGTGTGTGTGTGTGTGTGTGCTGATTTCTTCCACTTATAATGGAGCAACTTTTAAACTGTGCTGGGTGACCCACAACTAGTACCTGACTCTTCTGTTTCTCTATTACACTTGTGATAAACCAAGGTATGATTAGGTTGCTTTAAAGATCAGACCTGGAATTACAGATGTGAGCCACTGGCCAGGCTTCTCTGACCACTTTTTTTCTGAAAACACTAGCTTCCTTTAGACCTGGAAATATTTGGGTGATTGGAACAAGATGAATGAGTTGGACAGTTCTAATCTCCTTTTGCTGCCTTAACCTTTGGGTCAAATTCTATTCAGCATGATTGCCAATAAGAACTGGTCTAGCTGCTTCAGTGCCCGAATCCCTTTGGCTTTTACTCCATACTCTTTCATCTGAAGTCCTCAGGACCACCTGTTGCCCATCCCAGCAAGCCATTAAAGATGTGCTTCCTCCTGCCTTTGCTGGAGGGGTAACCAGGTCTCCACTCTGGTCAGTGTTGACTCCCTTCTGCTCAACAGGGCCGATGCACTACGATCTTTCCTGTGCACCCTTACATTTGATGGTGTATCATTTCTATTGCTTCCTTGCCAATTGACCCTAAGTGGTGTGTTCAGTTACAGTTGGAGCTTGGTGATGTGGAAATTCCTTGTGAGTGATTTCATTTAACTTTTTCATCTAATTGAAGCTGAGCACAGGAGCTTAGTCTAAAACTGTGGGCTATAATGGTTGCTTACTACTATTTTCCTGCTTAGTTGTACTTGTAATTAATGTCTATCTTTCCAGTAGACTGAACTCTGTGAATAGGAGGACCATGACTGATGTGTACTTTTCAGTATCCCCAACACCTAATACAGTGCCCTGATTTGGATCCCAGGACCTCGTGCTTGCTCTCTATCACTTTGAGCCATGTCCTCAGTCCTTTGGTTTTTTAGTTTATTTTTCAGATAGGATCTTAAGCTAACTTTGCCCAGGCTCGCTCCAATTCTTCATTCTTCTGCATCTGCCTCTGAGTAACTGAGACCACAGACTTAACAGCACCATATCTGGCTTGCTTTTGAGATAAGATTTTTGCCAACTTTGCCTAGGATGCCCTTAAACTGTAATCCTGTTATCTCGCAAGTAGTCTTTTTTTTTTTTTTTTTTACTAGCATGGACATGACTCTTTCCCCCCTAACTATCCACACTTCAGAACAGTGTCTCTTCTGTACATTTGTTCTCACCATGAAAAACATCAGACTCCTCTATTTCTGTTATCACTGAGCAGTAGGCAGGGTGGGGATGGAGGAAGGGGTGTCCTCGCTTCACTTTTCTGGGGTATTTTCTGATAGAGTTCAGATCATTGCCTGGCATTTAGGTATCCTCCTGGAGTCAGAAGGCTTTCTCCTTGTCCTCCCTATGATGTTCAGAATAAACCAGCCTCATCTGCCCTTCCTAGAATGAGCAGGATACACTAGAACCTGGCATCTGGGCTTTGACAGGACAACTTTTAGGCTTTCTCTTCAGTAGACTAGGATCTGCTTTCTACCAGGCCCCCCTCTCCTGAAATCCTAGAGAAACATGTCCTTACCTGACAAGCTTTTGCTTAAAAGGCACAATTGTGGCTGTTGGAGACATTTACAAAACACACTGACTGGCCTGGAAGGACATGAACTCGGCACTGGCAGGTGTTGGAGCTGGAGTGAAGATAGGCCATTGTAACCCTAGAGTGCTCAAGGTCTCCTGAGGAGACAGATGCTTGTGAAGTAGACCCTAGCTCAAGGCAAAGCCACATCTTTAGTAGTGTTAGGAGGGAAACACAAGGCTATGAAAACCCAGAACCAGGACTTGATCGAGTGTGGGGGTGTAGGGGTCCAGAGTGGAGTGCTCCCAGGGCATTTCCCTTAAGGAGCCAACCCTTGGACCAAGGGCTCCTCAGATGTCCACTGTCCTTTGCTGAATGGAGCAGACCAGGCTGTGTCAAACTTGTGAGGAAAGTGGGTTCTGGGTGAGAGCTCAGTGTAGGCACAGATGGCTAGAAGGGATTGGCAGTGGTTCCGTCTAGCTAAGGCCCTCAAGACACAGGGCAGGCTTATAGGAGGCTGGAGAGGTCAGTAGCAGCCAGGCCATTTGTGGCCACAGATTTCCGTCTTACCCTGGCTGTGGGCAGCCATTGCTATAGATGATGCATTAGGTCCTTACTTTTCTGGCTAAGACTGCCAATGGTGTGATTAAATCAAGATATCCCTCTTTCAGTGAGACCTAGGGAGATGTATGATCTCTTCCTTCCTTCTATCCTTCCTTCCTTTTTTCTCTTTTTCTTCTTCCTTTCTTCTTTTTTTCTTTTTTCTTTTTGTTTTTGTTGTGCCTGTCCTGAAACTCAGGGCCTGGGCACCATCCCTGAGCTTTTTCTCTCAAAGCTGGCACTCTACTTCATGAGTCACAACTCCACTTCTGACTTTTTGATGGTTAATTGGAGATAAGAGTCTCTTGGACTTTCCTACTCGAGTTGGCTTAGAACTGTGATCCTTAGATCTCAGCCTACTGAGTATATAGGATTATAGGTGTGAGCTATTGACATCCAGTACAATGTATAGTTTTTTTGCAGGGTGTTTTGTTTTGTTTTTAGGACTAGAAAAGTAAAGGGCCTGAGATTTCTTAGAAGATGAACAATAGGCTCACATGCCCTTCCTGGGCAGTGGTCTGTGTGGCTAAAGATTAGCCTCTGGCCTCTGTGCTCACAGTGGCTGTCAGTGCTGGCCTCCAGGAAGCTCTTAGCCACTCCCTTCCCGTGCCCTCTCTGAGAGGCTCGGGGATGGGTTTAATGAGGTAGGACTTTGTTACTTAACTTCAGTTTTACTACCTCTTCAAAGAGACAGAAGAAGGGACACAGGTCCTTTTGGTTTTGTTGCCAGTTCTAGAATTTGAACTCAGGGCCTTGCACTCTTGTTTTTTTTTTTTTCACTCAAGGCTAATGCTCTACTACTTGAGCCACACCTCTACTTCTGGCTTTTCACTGGTTAATTGGAGATAAGAGTTTTGGAGATTTGTCTGCCCCAGCTGGCTTCAAACCTCAGTCCTCAGAACTCAGCTTCCTGAGCAGCTAGGATTACATGTATGAGCTTTCAGCACCTGGTGAAAGGAGAGAATTTTGAAGAAGGGAGAGGGCTCTGTGATTCAGGATGGAGAGCCAGGCAAGGGCACAGTCAAGGCATGTAGTCAACATACCCAATGAGATAGAAGGGGAGTGGGAGGGGGAGGTTTAAGGAATGCCAGACTCAGTGGCTTGCTCATTGTCCTGTAGGCTTGTGTACCTCAGACCACATGAGAAACATGCTAAAATGTAGGTTGGTGTGCCTTACCCAAAAATGTTACTGTTGGTTTGGGGACAAGGCCTGGTATCTGAGTAATTTTCTGATGGTCAGAGGACTGTGTTGGAATATCCCAGGGGCTCAGTCATCCATTTTCCAGAATTCTCCCGGGGTCAGCCTGTGTAGGGGTAGGTGTGGGGGGGAAGCTACCCTCTAAACATCCTCTCCCTCCCTGCAGTGTTTGGGGGTCATGACCGATCAGAAGGATGCAGACCTCACCCATCTCTAACGGCTTACTACCGCCTTGATGACCGCAGCCCCAGGTGCCTCATTGCTCCCTTGCCAGCAGCCCACCATCAGTGGCCTTTCTCAGATCACCAGCAGCCTGTATATCAGCAATGCTGCAGCAGCCAACAACAAGCTCCTCCTAACTAGCAACCAGATCACCACAGTCATCAACGTCTCGGTGGAGGTGGCCAACACCTTCCATGAGAACATCCAGTACACACACGTGCCGGTGGCTGACATGCCCAGCTCGCGTCTGTGTGACTTCTTCGACCCCGTCGCCGACCACATCCATGAAGTGGAGCTGAAGCAGGGCCGCACGCTGTTGCACTGTGCCGCTGGTGTGAGCCGCTCTGCCACCCTGTGCCTGGCCTACCTCATGAAGTACCATGCCATGTCTCTGCTGGACGCCCACACATGGACCAGGTCGTGCCGGCCCATCATCCGGCCCAACAGTGGCTTTTGGGAGCAGCTCATCCACTATGAGTTCAAGCTGTTTGGCAAGAATACAATGCACATGGTCAGCTCCCCAGTAGGAATGATCCCTGACATCTATGAGA